ATATATATATATATATATATATATATATATATATATATATATATATATATATATATATATAATTAATTTTCTTACAACTTAAAAATCTCATTATTAGAAAATTTTGGGTAATAGAAAAAATTTGTTTGCATTTTTAATTCACAACATAAAAATATTATATAGATAAGATAATTTGATCTATTTATTAAAAAAATTTTTTTCGTAGACCAGTGTTATTATTAATTTTTGATTTCTCATGTCTCTTTCGCGAAATGCAGTCAAGTACTGGTTGCGGTGGCGCGGTTACGCAATAATCACAGCCGAAAGACAGTATTTTCGTGTCGGTTTCCTCTGGTATAAGTGGACGGGACTGTAACAAACAGATGAAATGTAGAACGCCGCGATATTACGCGAGATGTTGCGCGACTGGCCCATGGAATACGATCACTAATATGTTTGCCAATTCAATTATTTTGTATATAACATTATATTATATGTGTAATTGCATCATGTGTCCGCATCAATTACACATAAAATGTTGTTATGTTTCAGCATTGACAGTGAGATTTCTGACGAGGAGGTACATCGGAGAATACGATCACCAATCAGGTGAGAAAAATTCCGATGCGCGCTGCGAGGCTAATCGAAAAGTTCCGAAACTGTCATTCCGAATCTGATCCTGCCACGGTATCATAAGAACAGTTTTCTCCTCCAAGTATATCTCCTTTCACAGTCTATACATATCTTGTAGCGCATCACCTCGCGAGCTACTCGAAAGCAAACTTTTTCATCGTCCTCCTTCGGAAAGCGGACTTTCATCTCTTCGTCAGAGAGAAAAATGCCTTTCCTCGCCGAAAATTCCGTTCTCCGTCGAGTCAGAAGCGTGAAGAGAACTCGGAATAACCGCACTTTCTGAAGTATAATCAGTATATTCTTCGCCGAAATACTATAGCTTATAACTGGTGGTTTATAGCACTGTGAACAATAAAATCTCGCTGAAAGGATCAGTTAATAGTAGCGACTGTGCCAAGTACTAACGGAGTTTGCAAACACACAAACAATGTCATCGCACGCACAGCACATGGCAGTCGTTAATTCTATCGCCATAAACGTAAAAAGTGGACTTAATACAGCGTATAATGAATTTACAGATTTTGCAGTGTCATTTTACTTTCATCGTCACTGAGACGATGCATTAAATTGGGAGTGTTTTCACTGAAAATCAGTGAATACTCACTCATCGTCGGTGAAATAGTTTTCTTACTGATTCAATCGGAAACACTGATTCACTTTAAGAGAATAATGACAAGTGCGGCGGTAAAACTTTTCAATCGACTTCTGTAGCATAACGTCGACTTATCGAAACACTTAACTTACAGAACGTGACGTATGCGCGATAAAACCTACAACAAAATGACATGCCATTCTGAAAAACTGCCAACAACTGTAATCCGCTTCTAAGGCCGCGTATATTCCCCCTGCGCATACCTCAGTGCGCGTCTGGTCTAAATTTATCGAAGACGAATTTGACACTAGACAGGACGGGTGCTAATGCGAGGTTGATACTCGAACTCGAAACTCTTCGTTTTGTACAAATACAGACGCGGTCGTAGACAGAAGAGAAGCACGTGCCGAGTTTTAGAGCTCTAAATTAAGTCTGATCCGAAAGCCTATTTAAGGAGGTTGTAAATGAGTTCGTCAAGAATTCATTGAAGCTTGCACTGCATATAAATTGAAGTATTATCTGATTTTTCTTATGCAATTAGAAAAAGATTGATCGTCCGAAAGTTGAGATATTTAAAAGCAAAGCTTTCAGGGTTGCGAGTAATTAACACTCCTAGCATATAACTTATGTATACCTATTTATATTTATATTTATTTATATTTATATCTTAGAAGAAAGGAAATAAGAATAAAGAGGAGTACTGAAAAATTGATTGTATTATACATATATTATAAGGAAAGTCGTAAAATTGTAATATAATGATGTGGTAACGTTGTGTGAATGCAGAAATTTTTAAACAAAATTTGAAAACGATTTGACCGATTGTAGATTTAGTGTTAAATACTTTTAAAATAATTATCGTGTTTAATTGATGGTTAATATGATGCAATTCAATTGGCAATCATTTAATTGACGATTGATCTTAACAAATTCAACTGAAGACTGTTAGTGCATCTCTGTTAAATCAACTGATGTACAAATGAAACATTAATAAGAAAAATAAACTAATAATTTTTTTCGTATTTGAAATATCATGTATGCAC